GAGAATGTTCTTCAGAAAGGAATGTGAACAAGAAAGATAATTATTTTATTCTATAGAAACAACTTTATATTGGCGATTCCTTTCCAGTCAAGGGATAAGTGAATCAGAATGATGAACGTTACTTGTACATACATGTTCTTTCTATTATACGAGAGTTCCATATTCTTTTTCTGAATAACATTGTTCTCAATTTTCTTTCCAATCAAATTATCGGTGAATTCTGATGGCTTCCCTTACCTATAAATTTAAGTTTTTAGCCTTTGGACACTTTTCTTTATTGAGAAAATTCTTTTAAAGAAAGTACTGACAAAGTTTCTTCAAAACTGAAGAATAGAAGAACGAAACACAGGCCGGAAACTACTAAAAAGAGACAGCTAAACTTTTATTTCGTGTTAAACCTTAAAAATTACATTTTATTCCACAAAATAAGACCGTTTATTAAATGGGCTTAAAGTGCAACCTAGCTCTTTCAATTAATTGTATTTGAAATTGTCGGAAGATACGCTTCACTTTTATTCATGCAAAATATCTTACTTTCTATGATAAAATGAGTCTCTAGATGCAGCCAACTTCTTCTGATAATTTGAAATACAATTAACTGAAGTGCTAGGTTGCATTAAATAGTCTTATTTTGTGGAATAAAATGTAAGTTGAAGGTTTAACACGAAATAAAATTTCGAATGGCGCAAGACCGAAGTTTCTATTTGTTAATCTGTGGGGGTAAATATAATTGGAAAACGTCGTCCGAATTTTCTAGAATCTTTAGGGACGAACATACTCAGTTTTTATGCAAAAGTACAGATTTTTCGAAACAGGAGAGTATCTGAAAAATTTGAATTTTTCGCGCAGAAAACGCGCACTAGGAATTTTTACATTTGTCACAGAGTTTGCTTTTATTCTCACTTTTCTTTTTTATTTGTTTATTTTTCGTTCTAGGAGTATCAGACAGATCTCTTCATTGCTTAAGAAATTGTCTCTTAAGTTTTTTCTCCTTCTTCTCTTCCTCAAAATGCTACTCACTTCTCTTGCACGAAGTTTTTTAAAGATTTTTAGTAACTCACCGAATTTTCGGCTGTTGTTGTTTGCTGTGGTTCGACGTCTTGAGAAGTGATAAGTGGAGACTGTAAATCTTGTTCATCATCTGAGATAGGTTTGGCATCAGCAAGTGTTGGTTTCCATATTGTTATAGCATCATTTTTGAGTGGCAATTTGTAAATCTGTTTCATTGTCATTTTCATAATAATAATACTTCATTCGTTTTTTAACTGTTTTCGAAGAAAATAAATTGCATTGTTCTTGTGATTGTTTATCGTAACTGTTGTTGTTGGATAGTTGAAGATCTAAATGATTTTGTTCAAAATGTTTATTTAATTTGTTTCTGTGTGCCCATAAGGAATCACAAATTTCACAAATTTCGTATTGTAATGAATTGAGAGAAAGTGAGATTGATTGATTAGAAGTTGGATGGATTTTAATTAACTTTAAATAAATATCTATCAAACTGAGTACGTCGAATGCAGCATAATCTTGTTGACTTTTATTTAGATTAGATATTGCCCTAAAATACACAAAAATGTTGACAGAGTTAAACTTCAAAGTAAATAGACTAAACATATTTACCAATTTGAACACTGCTGTCTTTTATCTAGTGGAATTTTCAGTATCTGTAGCACCGTCTTTTGCATAGACCATTCAGTCGACAATACAACAACAACTAATCTACTCTTAGCCTCTGCTCCCTCATCCCTCTTTTCTCCTTCACCCATCATAGTTTGTGACAACGGCCCCGAAGTTAAGGAGGACTTAGAAGCAGATGCTAATTTCGATTGTTGTGATTCCAGATAACACTTTAAAATTCACTAGTTCTCTAATTGAAATAATAGAATCAATTTTTGAATTTTGAAAACAGCTATTACTATAACAAACTATAATACCACTAAACTCCCAAACCAAATTTCCATGAAATAATTTTAATATTTCAGAATCAAATATATGTTGTAATTGTTGCTCCATTTCTCTTGCAATACAATTGTTTTCATTTTTTGATTGATACAGTTGAAAGAATAAAACATAACTTTTTTCATTCTCTTTATTCTTCTCATTCTCCCATTTTACGGCAACATCTAATCTAAATAAAAGTCAACAAGCTTATGCTGCATTCGACGTACTCAGTTTGATAGATATTTATTTAAAGTTAATTAAAATCCATCCAACTTCTAATCGATCAATCTCACTTTCTCTCAATTCATTATCTTTCAAGAGTCAAATCTCTCTAGGTATCCAGGGTGAGCGTGAAAGTTCGTAGCCTCACCCTCACCCTGGATACCTAGAGAGATTTGACTCTTGAAAGATATACTGAACAGTTACCTTCTAACTGGTCGTTATCGTTACTTGTACGGTAACTGTTTACCCATTACCGTTACCAAGAACGTCAACTATTCAGCAGTTACTGTGACTCTAATGGTGACTGTCACAGCTCTAGATGGATGTAGGACACTCTTTCTTTCGCTACTTTAATGAATGTTTCCAAATAGTTTATTTTCTTTCACTTTTCTCAGGATACATCAATGGCTGTCCAGCATTAATCCGAGAAAAATATCCTCATATATTATACGTGCATTGTGCTTCTCATTCGTTCAACTTAGCATTGAGTGATAGCTGTGATATACGTGCAATACACAACACAATTGGCACAATTAAAGAAACTTACAAATTTGTTCGATCATCATCAGTTCGTACGCAATTATTCGAAGAATTAGCACGTGAATCCAATGAGAAAAGAAAGGCAGTAATAAGTGAAAATATTGCACCATCATCAACACAAATATCAGAAAATAAAACAATTGAACTTAAATGTAGAAAAGTTAAATCAGCAAATGTCTGTTCTACAAGATCGGTTGATCGGCATGTAGCTATTGAAATATTTAGTACTTTATTTCCTGCCGTTATGGAATTATTGACGAATTTAATGCAATCTAAAGATAAAAATGCTTCCACCAGATCAAATCTGTTATATGGTGAATATCGTTTTCAGAATTTTTATGGTCACTGCCAATATTAAATAAAATATTGTCATTCACAATTAATGTATCACGTAAGTGTAGAAAAAAACTTCGTTCTTTCCTCTATATTCCATTGTCTGAGAATGAATTTATAGGTACTTTACAAAATAGTCAGATTGATCTTGTGCATTGTATTTCTAACATTGAAAACATCTTACAAGTGATTCAGATGATAAGAAATGAACTGGATGAAGAATATAAATATTTATTTGAAGAAGCACAAGACCTGGCTAAATCTACAGAAACTACAACAAAAATGCCAAGAATTACCAAAGGACAAGTGAGAAAATTGAGATTAGTTTTAAGTATTCGTTCTCATTTATTCATAACTTTTCCTTTTTTTAGATAAATAGAGCCAATACTCCTGTTTCATATGCATATGACTATTTTAAATTAAACATCTTTATTCCATTACTTGATCATTTTTTAGTATCTATTAAAGATAGATTTAATGAACATGTTAAAAAAGCAGCAGCTATTTCATCTGTCCTCAATATATTGCTGATAAAATTTATGATGATTTCGCTCCAGCGATTGAAATTTATCAAAATTTCTTGCCTGGTTCAATGTCTCAAATTAAATCTGAATTCCTGCTATGGAAACAGAGATGGACACAAATTATCAAAGAAAGCAGCTCCATTCCATTATCATCTTCTTCAATCAACAACAGCACTGCAACAGTCACAATGAAACGCAAAGAAAGAACAGTTTTACCAGATACAGCAATTGATGCTTATATCGAATGCAATGAAGCATTTTATCCAAATATAAAAATTTTACTGTAACTCTACCAGTAACAACAGCAATTACAGAAAGAAAATCCTCTGTCTTAAAATTATTGAAAAATTATTTACGTTCAACAATGTCAGAAACAAGGCTTAATGGATTAGCTATGATGTATATCTGTCGGGATATACATATAGAAGTTGATTCTGTTATCGATGAATTTTCTAAATCTAATCGTCGTCTGGTTCTTTAGGTTTTACTACTCACTGTTTTGTTCTAACAAAGGTTGTTTGTTCATGAATTTCTAGATTTTTCGTATAAAATAGTTCGGAGAAATATAAGTGCGCGAGTACACTACCAAACTTCCTTAGAAAAAATATTCATACTACCTCGGACGACATCATTTAGAAATCGCCATCCGCTCGGTAGAATCCTTGATCTGCCGCTGCTCCGAAGTATGTTTTTTCTAACTAAAATTTATCGGATAAAAACTTTCAGGACAAATTAAGATTTTAATTAGTTTTCGTTTGCTGTTTTCAATTTTTTCTGCAAACTTGTACTTTTAGAGAAAATCAATTTTGCGAAAATAGATGTCGCTACTGTGAAATTTAAAATGCGTTTATCACGTCAACTCCAACTTGACAGAAAAAAAATTAAAAACAGCAAAAGAAAACTAATTAAAATCTTAATTTATTCGCAAAGATTTATCCAATAACTTTCAGTTAGAAAAATCTACATGCATTTGCTACTAATTCGACGAACGGAATGTCTTTTTTTGGCAATGGCCTCTCCGATGTATCTATCTCATTTTTTTTTGCGTGACTACGGAGAACAAGGTAACTCTCGTCTGCACTCGCTCGGTACCTTGACTTTAGGAACTTATATCTGCGAACGACCCTCCATCCAATGGCGTAACTAGGATTTTTGGACTGCTGGGCCGTGTTCCGTAGAGTCGAAAAGAATCGATGGGCCTAGGTGGGCCGAACGTTGCCTGTTTGGGCAGGAAATATTTGCAACTGTTGCCAGTTCTGATACCGTCATTTTCGGTGTTACTCGTTCTCGTGGTAATTTAAGATTTTTCAACGTCATTTTTGCAAGAAAAAATTGAAAAATATTGACTTTTTGAACTGCAGGAAAAAA